AAGTAGTCCAATGGAATTGCAGAAGTGTACTTAGCAAAAAAAGTGATTTAATTCATTTAATCAATAAATATCAACAACCACTTGTTATTGCACTAACTGAAACTTGGCTTAAACCTGATTATAATTTCAAATTATCAGAATACTCTTGTATTCGAGATGATAGGCCAGATGGGTATGGTGGGGCTGCCTTACTCATCAATAAAGCTACTCATTTTTCTTCTATTTCTTTACCTCTTTTTGACAAAAACAATATTTCTATGGTTGCTGCTGTTGTCAGCGATATTTGTTTAGTCTCCCTTTATATACCTCGTCCTTCCTCTTCAATTATTGCATATTTAAATGAGTTATTTTCAATTCTTCCTAAACCTTTTTTAATTATGGGTGATTTCAATTGCCATCATCAAGCTTGGGGCAGCTCCTATTCTAATTACCATGGTGAGCAATTGTTAGGCCTTCTTGATTCCCATAATCTGTGTGTTTTAAATGACCCAGTACCTACTCGTATTACTGCTCCCACTGAAAGAAATAGTGCTGTAGATCTCTCTATTTGTTCTTCCAATTTATCTTCCTCTCTATCATGGTCTATCCTTTCATCTGCATATGGGAGTGACCATTTTCCTATTATCATTTCATTACCAATTCATAAAAAACATCCTCGAAAAAGAAATTATTTTTACAAACATAAGTTAAATAATAATAATAATTGGGATAAATTCCAAATTGGTGTACAAAATAAATTATCATCTCTCCCTCCTATTACTTCTGGTAATGAATCGGACTGTTCTGAAGCCCTCAGCAAAATTTTGATACAAGTCGCTGATGAAGTTTTTCCTGTAAACAAACATAATAATAATAAAATTCCTTCTCCACCTTGGTGGGACCATGAATGTACTACAGCTATTAAATCCAGGAAACTGGCAGAAAGATTATATTGTAATGATATGAGTTCAGAAAACTTCACCAATCTATCTGCCCTACTAGCCTCCACCCGGAAACTTTTAAAGAAAAAGAAGTCAGAAGGATGGAAACGTTTCTGTTCTTCTATTTCGCCTCATACTCATCCTTCCCTTGTATGGCGTAATATAAAAAGATACAGATCTGCTTTCCAAGATTCTCCTTTTTTTACATTATCAGAGACTACAGCTAACGAGTTTCTAGATCGTTTAGCACCACCCTACGTATCTCATATGGATCCCATAACGCGGCCACTTTCCACCAATAAAAATATAAACTCTTCAGCTCTTGACAGTCCTTTTACATTTACGGAACTTAAAACCGTTCTGTCTCATACGAAAGATTCATCTCCAGGAAATGACCACATTCCATATTCATTTTTAGCGAATATTAATGATGAATGTATGTTGTATTACCTTAATCTCATAAATTCAGTAATGTTAACTGGGAATATTCCGTCGTCATGGAAACATCACACGGTATTGCCAGTTAAAAAACCCAACAAACCTTCCGATGACAGTAGTTCATATCGTCCTATAGCTCTTTCCACAGTTCTTTTAAAAATTGCTGAAAATTTAGTAAAAACTCGTTTAGAGTGGTATGTCGAAAGTAAAAAACTATTAGCTGAAAGTCAGTATGGGTTTAGAAGGGGTAAAAGTACATTAGATGGAATCAGTCTGTTCGTTTCAGATATACGTTTGGCATTCTCTAAAAATCAGTCGGTAGTTTCAGTTTTCTTAGATATTAACTCTGCGTATGACAATGTCAATATTAACATATTATGGAAAAAGCTTTGCGATTTGAATGTTCCTCCCATACTTTCTAACTTTATTATTAATATTTTGACGGAAAGATCCATTAGCGTTATATTGTCTGATTCTAATATTTTGTCTCGAGTTGTATGGAAGGGTCTCCCGCAGGGATCACCACTCAGTCCTCTTTTATATAACATCTATACATACGACTTAGAGTCATATGTAAATCAAAACAGTGAGAAAGTCGTTGTACTTCAATATGCGGATGATTTATTGATGTATTTTATTGATCATTCTGTTCAAAAAGCGTGTTCTTTAATTTCCACTTCTTTAGAAAAATTAAAATTTTGGATGGATTGTAACGGTCTTGAATTGTCTGCGGCTAAGAGTGCAGTTGTTCTGTTTTCTAGAATGCGAGTTCCACCCCCTATAAATATCTGTTACAATAATCAGTGTATCCCAGTAAAGACAAAAATAAAATTTTTAGGCATAATTCTCGATTCTAAATTATCTGGTTTACCACATTGTGAATACGTTTCAGCTAAATGTGAACGACTTCTTAATATTCTAAGATGCCTTACGGGTGTGTGGTGGGGATCCCATCCATTTCAATTAAAACTAATATATAATGCTCTCATAAGGAGTGTTATGGATTATGGTACATTTATTTTGGAACCTGCTAATGCTACAGCCCTAAAAAAATTGGATAATATTCAAGCTAAAGCTCTAAGGATTATATTGGGCGCCATGAAATCTAGTCCCATTAATGCGATGCAAGTAGAATGTTGTGATCCTCCATTGTATTTAAGGCGTCAGTATTTATCTGATAAATTTTTATTTCGTATTTTACAGTTTTCTAATCATCCTCTGATCCCTAAATTGCAATCGCTCTCTGATCTTGTTTCTTCGTCATCCTATTGGTCTCATAAATCTCTACCTTGCTTAGTAAAAAGTTACAGAACTTTTACTGCCATCCGAGCTCCCACTCATCGATCTCCCTGTCTTCCATTATTTAGTTCAGCATATGAATCTTTAACTTTTACCCCTGATGTTCATTTTGATATTAACATAGAAAAAGAACATCCTAATGTAAATGCAATGTTTAATCAAGTAGTAAACTCTAAATGGGAAAGCCATCATCAAATTTATTGTGACGCATCGAAACACTCACATACAGGAAATGTTGGTGTAGGAATTTACCACTCACAATATCATATAATTCAGAAAATTAAATTTCCACCAGAGACCTCTGTTTTTACTGGTGAATGCTATGGAATTTTTAAAGCAGTAGAATATATTAAAATTTTTAATCTTAAGCAAACTGTTATATTTACGGACTCTAAAAGTGCTCTTCAAGCTCTAATTAAATGTCCATTCAAATCATCTAAACAGTATCCTCTAATTTTTGATATCCGAGATATGTTGAATAGCATTCGTCTCAAAGGACATATTGTATCTTTTGTTTGGATTCCGGGTCACTGTGGCATTCGGGGCAACGAAAAAGCAGATTTGCTTGCGAATGAAGCTATATTATCTGGAGATCTTTTTCCTTATAAAAACTTTTGCCATGATCTGACTGCCTTGTCTAAGTCTTGTCTTCATGATTCATGGAGTCAAGATTGGACAATAAGTAGCAAAATTAAAGGGAAACAGCACTGTTTAGTCCAACCGTTTATAGCTCTTAAACCGTGGTTTTTCAAATTACATCTTGATAAAAGATCAACTAGTGTTTTGATTCGTATGCGAATTGGTCATGTTTGCAGCCCTGAACATTTAACAAAACTACGTATAAAAGACAATAATATCTGTGAATGTGGAGAAGATGTGGGTGATCTAAATCATATTGTGTTTTCCTGCTCCTCTTACGATCGTTCTTCATTTATAGAGACACTCATCTCATTAGAAATTCCTTTTCCTTCATCCATTGTATGCCTATTAGCTCATCCTAATCCTATAATTTATAAATCTCTTGCGTCTTTTATTTCCCATAATAACATTAAACTTTAAAACCCATGATCACTAATTCCGAGTATATTCAAAATTTAACCCGTTCCTTTCCATTATCCCGTCTCGTTTCCTGTTTTTAGTGGCATAATAGGCAACACTAGCCTCTTGCCAAAGAAGAGAAAAAAAAGAAATATAACTCTAGTAAATTTATTTCTGATGCCAATATAGGTCAACAAACACTAAGACTATAAAAAAAGGTTATATTTTCAATGAGTGATGGGATCATTGACATTTTTAGGAATGTATTGGTACAGACAATATTGTACGGTTTAGAGAAACAGTGTGGCGAGATTATACCGATATAGATAACCGGTTCGAGTCCGTTAACCTTCCCGAATGCATATTTGACTCGCATAATGATAATGACATGATATTTGTAATCTTATTATTGTGGTCAATGTACTTTAAGATGTTCAGATCGAGTTTAATAACAACAAACTGGTTTTAACTATGTGTAATTTATGGGAATTGCGTAAGGTTTTACAACTAACTGCCCGAGTCTGTCCTCAATCTGCCAGAGAAATTAAAAAGTCTTATGAAACACTTTCTTTGTGTGTTTATAAATGACAATGTTTTTGTAGAAAAAAATGTAGTGCTGACAATATTATCTGATTGCACAAAGATTAAGTGCGTAGTGGTTTCTATATTAACTGTCGTATGCCTAATCCTTGTTAATTTATATATACTTAGAATAACCTAATTTATATCATCTTCCGAGTTATTCTTAAAGTTATTGAAGTTTTTAGTGACCAATATAGTTTTAAAGAATAATTGCAATTGCTGTTATCCGCTACTTTGATATATTATATAACTTTTTTTTATTAAAATAAATAACATTTCTAAAATATATGTATGTATTATTACAATCTTAAAGAAATTTGACCATAACTGAGTGAAGATTACATATACGCGTGTGTCAAATTCATGGTAGCGTGTGTTTTAGGGATTTTTTATGCATACTATATTTTTAAAATTATATCCTACACTCCTCAATATACCTATATTATATGTGTGCGAAATTTCATACTTCTCCGACCGCGCAATGTTCATAATAAGGGGTTTTTGATTCACGTATTGATATATATATATATAGATACCTAATTTTTAGTATATTTTTGTTATTTAATATAGGTACGATGTGATTGTCATCGTGACATTTGGTGTACAAAATATAAAAAATAAAATAAAGAAAAAAATATAGATATAAAAAAATATAGATAATTTAAATTGTTAATAGAACTTATTTACCGTATTTATGTATAATTATTGAGTCTTTTCTTTTAGCTTGTTCGTGATGTGACCATAACAGACAAACCCGTATATCCATACAGAGGCATCCTGCTGGATACAGCCAGGAATTATTACACACTGGATTCAATCAAGAGAACTATTGGTAATTGAATTAGTATGTTTTTTTTAATCATTTTAACGGCCTAGCGGTTTGGAACATAGCCTTGCTTTCGCGGGTTCGATTCTCCGCACGATACAAACATTTATATTCATGAATATGATTATATCGGTTTGAGTGTTTTATATGTATAATATGTATGTACTTATATATGTACACACACATACACACACATATACACATACATACATATATAAATAGAGCAGATATAGATAATACGACTTTTTTTTATTTTAATAATTTTTTTTATTACATTTGTAAATGAAACTTGACAGTTATACTTGGTTATATATCGTCGGTTAAATAGAAAAATGGCAGTATTCAAAATGTAAATTTTTTACAAGTCAAGCATTTAAAGTTTTTTTTTTTAATTTATTTAAATTATTTTCTCCTTTAATGTTTTAAATCTACACAGAAGTATTATATATCATTTTAAAAGTATTTAGATAATGATTAAGACGGCGTGGTTAATTTAATTGACTCATATAAAAGAAGGCAATTCTAGCTACTAATTCTGAAAAATGACATTTTTCTATTTAATCGACGATATATTATCTTATCTGTGGTTATATCTTCTCTTAACCTTCTACAGATGCCATGGCCGCCGTGAAACTCAACACCTTCCACTGGCATATCACTGATAGCCAAAGTTTCCCGTTCGTGTCTGGTAGACGCCCCAACTTGTCCAAACTTGGAGTTCTTAACCCGAGAAAGGTAAAGTAGTATTTTAGGAAAATATCTAAATTTTGAAATTGTTAATGATATGTTCTCTTATCTGTGGTTCATACGGATGCTAATGAATGAAAAAATGAATAAAATAATGAATGATTTTAGAAATAGAAATAGAAATAATCTATATTCAAATAAACTCATTACAAGCACTTTTGAATAGTCATATTTTGATTCTACCACTCATTCGGAATGCAGATTCATCACAAGAAGAATGAGCAAGAAACTTGTGTGTTACTCTTTTGAATAGATGTTTTTTATATATATAAATAATTACAGTATAACAAGTAGTATAATTTAGAAGTACGTATCATCCTCAACTATCTAACATTATCGGATTATCTTGCATCTTGATCTTGATCTTGATCTTGCAAGAAAGCTACACAGCTTTTGGTATAAGCGAATCTATTTATGACGATAATATTGTGTAAAATATTCCTCTGACAATATATTTTTAAACTAGTATATATTTATTGTAAGGTAGAATCGAACTTACTACTCTTTAGAATGTATGTTGTAATTAGGGTTCATGATTTCTCGAGCTTTTCAATTTCTCGGGTCTCGAGAATTCTCGAGGTCAATTTCTCGGGTCTTCTCGGGTTGTCGAGAAATTTACATTTACGTACGTTTTCTCATATTATTTGGTTCCAATAACGTCAAAAAATTCAGTGGTTTTCCTCTCAAATAAAAGTATCAAATTAAACTTTTATTTAAAAACTTTAATATTATGAATAAATTATTATTTTTTAAATAGAGAAATAATATTAGGTCCTTACATATAAAATTGGCGTTTTGTCGTACTGGCCACTTTGATCTCAAATATCCTCTTTTTTACGAATTCTATTTCCAAATTTATACAGCTATTCACTTTGGGTCACTCATCTACTCGTTGTACACCAACGACATCCCTAAATTCTCCGACTTAAAAGTCGAAATATCACTGTTTGCCGATGACATGCCGATGACTGGCTCTCTTTACATCCGCCAAGTCCCGTGCGACAATAGCCAGACGGCTTCAGAAAGCCGTAACGATACTGGGCGAATGGTTCCGTCGGTGGCGCATAGAAGTCAATCCCAAATAAAGTGCAGCAGTGTACTTTAGCAGGGAATTCGATTCTATGAATCACCCGATCGAACTATTCGGCCAAAACATCCCGTGCGTTTCGAAAACGAAATACCTCGGCGTTAGCCTAGATAGGAAACTAACGTTTCGTCCTCACATCAAGCGTGTCCGCGACCGAGCCGCCTTTATACTAGGGCGACTCTATCCTTTTATTAACAAGCACAGTAAAATGTCGCTTCGCAACAAGCTGACACTATACAAGGCTTGCATCCTTCCCATCATGACTTACGCTAGTCTCGTATTCGCCCACATACCCTACTGTTTAATCAACCGACTACAAATCATACAGAATAGGTTTCTGCGTCGAGCCACCGGTGCGCCGTGGCTCGTTCGCAGTGTAGACCTCCACCGCGATCTTAATCTGCCCTCCATCAAGCAGTTTATGAAGGAAGCGTCTCGACGCTACTTCGACTCTGCCCAATCCCACCCTAACCCGCTTATAGTCAGTGCGGTCGACTACGCACCAAGGAGTAATATCAGACATACGCGACAACGTCGCCCGAGGCACGTTCTCATTGACTCCGACGACCCCATAACGGCAGGTAACCTCTCCACCGGCCCACCCGTTCTACTCCGACCACACTTTTACACACACACACGATACCGTCCTCGCCGACGAAGACGACGACCTCAAACATATTCAACCGGGCGCCTGAAATTTTAACGGAAAATTACGATGGCCTGAGCCGAGGTTCGAACCCCTAGTGGAGCCCTCAGACTAAAGTCGTATCCGTCAGGCAGGAGTTGGCCTTCAGCCGCTCCATAAGTCTATCAGCGGGTTTGGAGTACCATCTGCACTCGCCCCTAACGTCCGGTGAAGCTGTAAAGGCCAGCTACGGCCAACAGCATCACAGTAGTCCGAAAAAAAAAAAAATGGGTCACTCACAGCATACAAAATGAAAAAACTTAAAGTATCACGTTATTTACGAATACGAGTTCCGCTGTGGCACCAGTGCTACACGGTGCTAAGTGGTCTCACAAAAGAAAACACGTGCATTTTTAGTTCCAACGTTTTCGTTCTGGAAATTTTGACCTGCAAAGCAATCTCGGTGGGCGGCCGGAATCCAAGGTTGATAATGAAGAATTGAAGGCTATTGTGGAAGCGGATCCATCGCAAACCCGTCCGAGTTAGCTGCAGGCTGCGGTGTTAGTGACAAAACTGTTTTAATCCTTTAGCAAATTGGGAAGGTGAAAAAGCTTGAAAAGTGGGTCCCTCATGAATTCAATGGAGTAAATCGACAAACGCGCGTAGCCTGCTGCGTTACATTAATCAACCGGCATAATAATGAAGGGATTTTAAATCAAATCATTTCCTGTGATGGAAAGTGGATCTTGTACGATAATCGGAAACGCTCATTGCAATGGCTAAACCCTGGCGAACCAACCAAATCCTGCCCCAAGCGAAAATTGGCTCAAAAAATGTTACTTGTGAACGTTTGGTGGACTATTTCCGGTGTTGTTCACTTCGGCGATGTGTATTGTCAGCAATTGAGAAACCATGATGGAAAAGCTAGCTGCTAAACAACCGAGGCTGGTCAAACGCCAAGAACGCTTGACCAGATACTGTACAACAGACAGTTACCAAATTAGAAGAGCTTCAATTGGAATGTCTAAGACATCTACCGTACTCCCTGGATCTTGCTCTAATAGATTACCATTTTTTTTTTCAAAATTTGGATAACTTCTTGCAAGGGGAAAAATTAAACTCCGATGGGGCAGTCCAAAGTGCAAAAACAAAAGGCAAAAGTGCATAAATAGAAATGGTACCTATGCACCTAGATTAAATAAATATATTATATTTTGAAAAAAAAATACTTCAGGTTATTCCCTTACAAAACGCCAATTTCAATTTTTCAGGACCTAATTGTTCTTTTAGACTTATTTATAATGACATATATTATATATTTATAGTGACAGCACCATTTTTGGCTGCTTATTTAGAATTTTTTTTCTAAATAAGCAGCCAAAATTGGTGCTGTCAACGTAAGCAAAAATAGTTTCTACAAAATAAAAAAAAAACATGAAAGAAAACAAAAACCTTTATATCTTAAATTATTGCGCCTCCACGCAACAGAACAAAGGGCAATTTAATTTCTATATAGGTACATGATTTCTCGAGTTCTCGACTTTTCTCGAGCTTGATTTCCCGGGAACAAAACCCATGAATTTCCCGGGAATTCTCGAACCGAGAATTCCCGGGAATGAACCCTAGTTGTAATAGTAAACTACTGGACTGCGATGCTCTCTTAAACATTTACGCGTATAGTGTTCCCAATAAAATGTAAAAGTTACGTATATTATATGCATACTTGCTGTGCCCTGTTTCACTCGTTAAATATCAATATAAAATATAATCTGTATGTTATTCTGATGTATAAGCTATATTACTGAAAAGTTTCATCAAAATCCGTTCAGTAGTTTTGGTGTGAAAGAGTAATAAACATTCATACTTACAAACACTCTCGTTTGTAATATTATTAAGGTATACAAAGAAAAAATATGTATTTATATCAGTTGTCTAGTACTCATAACACAAGTTCTGCTCACTTTAGGACTAGATGGCGCTGTGTATTGTTCACGGATATTATGATTATTGTTTTAGGTATACACGAAGGAAGATATTAGTGAAGTGGTACAATATGGTTTGGAGCGAGGCGTGAGGGTGCTACCCGAGTTCGATGCCCCGGCGCACGTAGGCGAGGGTTGGCAGGACACTAACCTTACCGTTTGCTTTAAGGTAAGACGACAAGTAACATTCATATAACAAAAAAGAAATAAGTTTCTTCAATTATTATATTTAACAAATAAATCTACCATGATTTCGAGATGAGAAGAATTAACAAGAAACTCAGCTCGTATTCTTTTCAAATAAATGTTGTACATGTTTACAATAATACATATTAATTTTTAATTCAAATTTGAGAGAATAGGGTGACCACAAAAACGTGCATATATGTAATTTTATCAGTTGTATACTACCCGTATTACAACAAGCTCCGCTGAGAATTTTTCCTTAGATATTGTTATAGTATATATAATGAATATATTTACAAAAGACTGTACTAATGTGTTCCCATTTCGATTTGAGGTAAATTCGATAGAGTGTTGGAATTGCTTAATTTGAATATAAGTATAAAAATCCTTACTTCCTTACATAATATAATATTATAAATGCGAGAAGAGAGTAATAAACAATAAATAGATTGAATGTTATAATATAAACATCACAAAACAACAAAATAAAAAAAATTAAAATCAAACCAAAAGTGACCAACCGTATTGCTATCAAATTTAGGCGCTTACCTGTTATGAAGATGCTGTAATAAACTAGTTAATTTATTGCGGCCTAAGAAAGTCGTTTCTTGAATTAAATATGCTGATAACTGTTGGACAAAATCTGGAGTTTATATCATTCATAATGACAAATAAGTTTTAATATTTGGGTACTAATACTAATTAACAAGTTGGGATATATAACCATAAATTTAATTAAATTGCTTATTAAGATTCACGTAAAATACTGCTTTCTCAAATACCTATGTAAATGTTCATACTGTTTCCATTTAACACGTGGTTTAAAACCCTTTTGAAACCTTTTGGAGTAAATGTTTTTATAAGGATTTCGTATAGTATACACACAAATTAATAATTAGTGTTTTATTAACTGTTTCTTAATTTTAGTCTTTTATCGAATGATAATTAGCAAATCCAAAATACATTTTTTTTCTTCTTCTTTCTTTCAAAACACATTGTTGGAAATTCGTTATGTATTTAGTAGTTATATGTTTTTAACTAGCTGTTTTCGGAACATCGTACGCGTTTTTTCTACTCGTAGAATAAAATATTATGACAATAATTTTGTCGTGAACTGATTTAAATGAAACAATACTTATATTATTATTTTTTCAATAATTTTGTATTTTTCGTGAATTTATAATGAAACGAATACTTAAGCAGCATATTAATCGGTTGATTAGTTTCTGAGATTAACATGCACTGACGTACCGACAAATAAATATATTTTTTTATAAACTACTTTCTTTGATAACATGTATAATGTACCGGCACGGCTCGAACGAATACTAAGCAGCATATCGGTTAATTAGTTTCTGAGATTAACTTGCATAGACGACATACGTACATATAGCGACAAAAAACAAAATTTCTAAATAGGTACTACTTTTTTGAAATAACCTATAATGTACATGTAAACGACCCGTGTCGTTGGTTTACTATTTTATAGTATTGGCGGGTTTTTGAATATTCTATGATTACATTTAAATAATTACCAATTGTTCGCCAGGCTGAGCCGTGGAAATATTATTGTGTGGAGCCGCCGTGTGGCCAACTGAACCCCACCAAAGAAGAATTGTATGAATATTTGGAGGACATATACAGCGACATGGCCGGTAAGATGACCTAAACGTATGTCTATATATATCTATACTTTATAGATATAGAGGTAATCTTCATTCAAATAAACTCTATACAAACACTTTTGAATAGTCATATTTTTTATTCTCCCACGCATTAGGAAGACAGATTCATCACAAGAAGAACGAGCAAGAAACTTGTGTGTGTTGCTCTTTTGACTAATTACACAATAACAAGTAAGAGGCATGTGATAACCAACATAGAAACCGCTACGCACTTATTTTTACTGCAATCAGATAATATTGTCAGTGCTATGTATTTTAAGTTTTTCTACAACAACATTATTATCGTTAACGATCTCTTCAATTTTATAATACGCTTTTTTTACAAAGGAAGTGTTTTATATCGTTCGTTCGGTCGTCATTTGAATCAATTTGATAAAATCAGTTTGTTATTGTTACGTAAGCTTTTATTAGTGTAATCACTAACTCATTTGAAATTGTTTATATATTGGTCATTGGGCTCCCTAAAATATGGTCGAGCGCAGTGATGGCTGCTGATCCGTCATACTCGTGAACGGGTGCTGCTTGTAGGGACTGGTCTGCTCTAATCACTATGACTGATTTCCTCTTATTAATTGTTTAACCAGTTGTGTATTCAGTATTTTTTCTATTTGAATATTTAATTAAATTAGTGCTAATCGGTAGTTTGTATTCACACACTTAAACTTAAATTGTAAAGTAAGAATAAAATTACTTAAAAGAGCAATACACAAGTTTCTTGGTTGTTCTTCTTGTGATGAGTCAGCTTTCCGAATGAGCGGTAGATTAAAAAAAATGTGATGACTATTCAAAAGTGCTTCAATGTAAGTTTGTTTGAATAAATAATTTTCTATTCTATTCTATATTTTCTGGCATACATGATATTGTCGTAAATATATTGAGTTGTATTATCTTATTGACATTAGATATTGGAAGCAACGAGAATATAATCAGTAGGTTGATAACCGATTTAGTTAAATAGTCACAAGCATTTAGTAACTGAACTCGTGTTATCCTACCCTTACCTATGTTTTTTGTAGACAGTTTAGTATACAACAAACACTAAGTTTTAAGTGAAGCTTATCACTTACACTTAGTAAAAACTGCACATAAATCAGTTAAGCCATTGTGTGCTGTGTGTGTGGTTTTTGAAATCACTATACACAGACAAACAGAAATTTAAGTAATAATTGTTTTAATTTCTATTATGTTTATAAAGTCTTACAGGTTTTTTTTATATATCTTAGGCGTTTAGACTTTATTAAAAACTGCACCCAGATCAGTGAAGACGTTTCTGAAATCAGCGCATTTAGTATATTTACTTTACTCTTTGAATCAGCGCGTACAAATGTACAGACATTTTATCTTTTTTTTTTATTAGGTCTACAAAACTGGATGTCTTACAGAGTACATAACTTAATTTTTACACACACAAAATGACACTACAATAATAAAGAATCTAAATATATATAACTCTAAGGTGACTGACATAGTGATCTATTAACGCACAGCCCAAATCACTGGACGGAACGGGCTGAAATTTGGCATGCAGATAGATGTTATGACGTAGGCATCTGCTAAGAAAGGATTTTAATTAATTCTGCCCCCAAGTGGATAAAATAGGGGATGAAAATTTGTATGAAACTGTCAATATTAAACCGATCGGGCTGAGACTTTGCATGCATAAAGCTACTATGACGTAAGCATCCCCTAAGAAAGGATTTTGATAAATTCCAACCCTAAGGGGATAAATTAACGCGAACGAAGCCGCGGGCAAAAGCTAGTTATGTTATAAAGCTTCTTGCTAAATTATTATTTTAAGTTGTATTATGTTAATAAAGTATCTTCGTAATAGGTTTTCTTGTCTAAATATATATTCTTCAATGAAAATACAGCGATAAAGTACCCAAACAATAGTTCTTCTCATATAACTATTATTTATAATCATGTATACTCGTAAGCTCATTGAAAAAGAATAAGAGTTGAATTTCTTGTCAGTTCTTCTTAGTTCAAAAGCAGTAATCTAATAATAATAATAATAATCTCAAGACAATTCACACAGCGCCATCTAGACCCGAGTTAAGCTAGCTAAAGCTTGTGTTATGGGTACTAGATAACTGATACAAATACATACATATATATATTTTTCGTAAATACATACATATTATACATAGAAATCACCCGGTCCGACACAAACAATCATACTCATGAATACAAATGTATATGCCGTGCGAGGAGTCGAACCCGCGACCATCGGACGTAAAGCGGTAAAAGCACTCGGAACTGATAGTAGATTTGACATATCATAAGAGTCTGTAACAGACCAACATGAACTAAGATATTTTGATTAGATATCAGTAATCAGTCTTATGTTCATAATAAACACAAACTACTATCTATCTATATTATATCTGCTCTCATTACTGTCGATCGATCCTTCGCTTGATGTTCAACTGATAAGAACTGATAAGAGTCGGTTGCAATATATCTAGTTTATTTTTTTTGTAGTAAACAAAACGCAAAATTTTTATCACAATTCGTGTGAAGAGATAGTAATCGAGAGATATACATTTTGTTTTGTATTTGTTATATATTAGATAGATACACTTGTTTATAAAAATTAACAATAAATGCACCTACATAATTATACAAGACTAGCTGTACCCTCGACTTCATCTGCGTGGAATTTAACTTTATTTTTCTAAAATAAAAGTAACCAAGTTACTCCTTATTACATCAGCTACCTGCGATTAAAAGTCCCGTCAAAATAGGTCCAGCCATTTCAGAGATTATCCGGAACTAACAGACCGACAGATAGACAGACAAAAATTGTAAAAATGGTATTTTAGTGTTACATACACCAAAATAACATATTTATATTCATGTGCATGTAGTGAAAACGGTTATTTCAATATTATATTACAAACAGACACTCCAATTTTGTATATATGTATAGATTAGTCATTTTATAAGACGATTGAAGTTTTGTTAATTAAAGGGTTTTTTTATGGATGATATTTGTGCACTCGCCTGCGCTAACGGGATACACTGGCATCAGTGTAGAATGATAAGATGAGAATGAGGTCAGGTTGGTTAGACCACCGTGACAAATTCACCGGGAATGTATCACGATGGTTTCCAGGGGGAACTGCGTGGAGGTCAACCTGACATGGTACATTGTTAACAATGGAGTTATTACTCCACATTACTAACAATCCCCTTCCCTTATAAAACAAAGGGGTTAGAAAACTCGACTCAGGGAAAGTTAGATATCAAAACATGTTGTCTGTTAAAATTCTTTATTCGACTGTTCTGTACACAAATATTATTAAAATTATAAAATTCTTAATAATAACAAATACAATTTATGAACTACAAAGGTATGTGGCTACTACGGCAAATTATATATTATAAACTATATATTGCAGATGTATTCCAACCCGATATGTTCCACATGGGCGGCGACGAGGTCAGCGAGAAGTGCTGGAACTCTTCCGAGGAGATCCAGCAGTTCATGATACAAAACAGATGGGGCCTCGAGAAATCATCATTCTTGAAACTTTGGAATTATTTCCAGAAGAAGGCACAGGATAAAGCTTATAAGGTAAGCAATATAAATATAGTCATAAAATATGTGAATATATGTTTAACGTTATCTGAACGACGATATTAATAACGAGCGTGCATGGCAATAGTTGCTCATGCACGGGATTTTCATTTAATGTTAAACATAGACACTTATATAAATATACATTGTAAATAAACTGGCTTTTAAAAAAAAGTAATTCAATTGAGTTTCTTGCCAGTTCTTCTCAATTGGAGCTATATACAAAACTGGACTGTATGGAAAATAAGATATATTAAAAAATTTGATGAATAAATGATTTTTGAATTTGATATTCAACTTAATGTCCATTAAGGAATTTTTATTCGAAGGGTTTTGGTACTAAGCATGTCAAATTGTCATTATGTGTATGCTGTATGTAGAATGTTACATGATGGTATGTAATGATTTTTTTGTTGTCTTTATGAATACAGGCCTTCGGTAAGAAACTGCCGCTTATATTATGGACCAGTACTCTTACTGATTACAGCTACGTCGATGATTACTTAGACAAAGACGAGTATATTATTCAGGTAATTTATACTAATTATTTAACTTCAGAACGATTACACCTCAATTAAGACATTGTGAGTGGCGCAGGTATTTGTACGTATCCGTATTAATAAATATATTATCTTATATATAAAATTCTCGTGTCACAGTTTTCGTTCCCGTACTCCTCCGAAACGGATTGACCGATTCTCATGAAATTTTGTGAGCGTATTGAGTAGGTCTGAGAATCGGTCAACATCTATTTTTCATCCCCCTAAATGTTAGGGGTAGTCCACCCCTAAATTTTTTTTCTTATATTAAGGCAAAACAACGTTTGCCGGGACAGCTAGTATGTATATATATTTTCCCTTGTGTCACTTAAATTATTATTTTAAACTGGTCTAATACCTGCCCGGTCATAATGTGTTAATAATAAATCTCAGGACAATTCACACAGCGCCATCTAAACCCAAGTTAAGCTAGCTAGAGCTTGTGTTATGGGTACTAGACAACTGACACTGACAACAAATATATATTTTTTTCGTCAATAAATACATAGAAAACACATAGACGATACAAAAAATGATACTCATGAATATAAATGTTGGTACCGTGAGAGGAATCGAACCCGCGACCATCGGAAGTAAGGCGGTATACTAAACTGCTAGACCATCGAGGTCTAATTAGATATTGTGTATGAATTAGGTATGTTTGTAAACTATAACGCTCCGCTTACTACCTTCTCAGTTTGCCTTATGGTTGACTGGTAGAGAACGCTCTTTGGTGTTAACTTCGCTATATACCAAATTATGTATTTTTACATTAAGGTTTAAATCTTTATACATAAAAATTACGTGTTACGTTGTTTGTCTGCGATGGACTCCTAAACTGCTGAACCGATTACAAATATGATTTGCACATTGTGTGCAATTTGATCCAACTTGAAAGATAGGATAGCTTACATCTCAATTTATAGTCATAATATTATTTTATTGCCTTAGCAACGGAAACGCGTGGCCGGGTCTGCTAGTAGAAAAATAAAAATTAAAGCATAAATTTATTGGTTTACAGGTATGGACGACAGGCGTGGACCCTCAAATTAAAGGGTTACTGAATAAGGGTTACCGCTTGATCATGTCCAACTACGACGCGCTGTACTTCGACTGCGGGTTCGGTGCTTGGGTTGGCAGTGGTACGTTATATATTATTATGCTAGCTGTATCCGCGACTTCGTCTACGTGGAATTTAACAAAACAGTTAATTAGAGACTTTTTCTAATGTAAAAGTAGCCTAAGTTATTCCTTATTACATCAGCTATCTGCAAATAAAAGTCCCGTCAAAATCGGTACAGCCATTTCAGAGATTAGCCGGTACAAACAGACAGACAGACACACAAAAACTGTAAAAAATGTTATTTTGGTGTATGTACCGTATTTATATTCATATGCATGTAGTAAAAAACGGTTCTTTCAATGTTACAAACAGACACTCCAATTGTATTTATATGTATAGATTGATATGTGTTATATTCAACTCAAACTGAAGAGCATTTGTTACTAACTTATGTCCGCAACTTTGTTTGGGTTTAAAAGTTAAACGAAAAGAATAGAAAATTATTTATTCAAGTCATTTTAAATTTAAGCACTTCTGAATAGTCACACATATTTTCTGTAATCAACCGTTCATTCGGAATGCTGTCTCATCACAAGAAGAACGAGCAAGAAACTTGAGTGTTGCTTTTCAATAAAAAAAATTACAAATACATGGTATTTGACACACGCAAATAAGTATAGCTTTTGACAATAGAACCTTAATAACTTTCAGCGACAATTAGTTATTTTCACAGGTTCTGGGATTATAGGAGAGTGAATACACACTTAGTGATTACTTACTTAGTGAGTTTCTCGGAACCCTCGCTATGAGAGATTAGTTACCAATTTACTACGTAATTTACATGTTTTTTTCTTTATCTCAGGAAACAACTGGTGTTCTCCATACATAGGATGGCAGAAAGTTTACGATAACAGTCCGGCTGTTGCCGCTATGGAATACAAGGACCAAATTCTGGGTAATAATTTATGTATAAGTTTTTTAAACACTAGCTATTATCCGCGATTTTGACGGCACGGAATTTTACTTTATCTTAATATAAAAAATAATTTTAATATACAATACTCCTTATTTTTCCTTCGTAGTAGTATGTAATATTATGTTATCTATGGTAGTAGTGATACAACAAATAAATTAAACATTTCATTTTCGAGAAAATTTGATAGCTTTTTTATAATTAGCTAAAACATTATTAATATATATAGAAATAGAAAAATAATAATAATAATAATCTCAGGACAATTCACTCAGCGCCATCTAGACCCGAGTTAAGCTATCTAAAGCTTGTGTTACGGGTACTAGATAACTGATACAAGTACATATATAATTTTTTTTTTCGTAAATACATACATAATATACATAGAAAACACCCAGACCGATACAAACAATCGTACTCATGAATACAAATGTTTGTGCCGTGCGAGGAATCGAACCCGCGACCATCGGACGTAAAGCGGTGTGCCGCTAGACCACCGAGGTCGTCAGTCAAAATATAACGCGACTCACGCAAAAACTACTGAACGGATGTTAATGAAACTTTACAGTAATATAGCTTGTGGCTACACTTGTAATATTTTTGTCAACACTCGACACCCTTCTATTAGTTTACGTCTTAACTTATGTTACTTACGTTAATATAGATTTAAATTCAGTGTGAAGTCAGTCCACGTTACTCCGCGTCGAATGTACGCGTTACTAATAAGCCATGTAGCACACTACCAAATAAACTTACTAATGTACAATAAATAGTACAATTATTATACCGGAATACTCATTACTTAGATACAACAATAAAAAAAATGTAGCAACACTTCATCACATCATAGATAACTATGGAATTACGCTTTTGTTATTTTTGGGACTATAATAATGAAACACTTTTTGAACTTCAACGGTCGGGCATTCATTCAAGAAGGAAGATGTCAAGATAGAACCGTACTGTGTTGTGTTTTTACCATAGAGAACAATATTCCACAGATATATATTTCGGATACTTATTGCTATAACTTAATAACCATCGACCTACAAGCTTATTGAATCGGGCGATGAATCCGGTGGTATGAACAGCAGTCTTATAATGATATGGTGTGGGCGCAGGAGGAGAAGCAGCGCTGTGGTCCGAGCAGTCGGACAGCGCCACGCTGGACGGGCGACTGTGGCCGCGCGCCGCCGCGCTCGCTGAGAGACTGTGGGCCGAGCCCGAGCACGACTGGCACCACGCGGAGTATCGCATGCTGCATACCAGGTACGTACGCACGCGACCAAGCTGCATGATAGGTACATACGCAGGCGACCATGCTGCATGTTAGGTAAGTACAAACGCGAGCATGCTGCATGCTAGGTAAGTACAAACGCGAGCATGCTGCGTACTAGGTATGTACGCAGGCGAGCATGCTGCGTACTAGGTATGTACGCACGCGAGCATGCTGCGTACTAGGTATGTACGCACGCGAGCATGCTGCATGCTAAGTAAGTACAAACACGAGCATGTTGCATGCTAGGAAAGTACACGTGCGAGCATGTTACACGACAGGTATGTACGCACGCGAGGTTGCTGCATGCTGCATGCTAGGTAAGTACAAACGCGAGCATGCTGCATGCTAGGTTTATATGCACGCGACCATGCTGCATGCCTGGTAAGTACGCGCGCGAGTAATCTGCATTCTAAAGAGTACACGCGAGCATGATTCAAGCTAGGTAAATATTCACGCAAGTATACTTGCTAGCTAGGTAAGTACGTATACGAGCATGTTGCACGCCAGGTATGTACGCACTCGATCATGCTGCATGCCTGGTAAGTACGCACGCGAGCATGCTGTATGCTAGGTCCGTACGCACGCGAGCATGCTGCATGCTACGCATGCTGTACATACGCACGCGAGCATGCTGCATGCTACACATGCTAGATATTCTCCCAAGCGACTTCGCTCTAAGTTTTCCGTTGGCATACAATGCCATTCAATCAGTCACCATTACGCTAATTTTATACTTGTCCCAATAAGTATATAATACTTACTGTAAAAATGAGTAATGAGAATATGATAAACCAAACTGGTTGAAAAATATCTTCGTACATGAAATATACAAATCAAATTTTAATTTTAATCTCTTTATACTACAGGGAACGCCTAATTCGTATGGACATTCAAGCAGAATCACTCCAGCCGGAGTGGTGCTACCAGAACGAAGGTTACTGCTACAACTGACAGTCTCAACAACTCAGCAATGACAGCCCTCGCCGTCATACTGGGCCAACCCGGTACAGCGTTCAATTCCCCGCCCAAACATCTCTCGCCATCTGTGCCATCCTGTACCGAAGAAATGTCGCAATAATCATGTAAAGTGCTTTCTGAAACAAAATTATGAGTCACTGTGATTACTTTAGATGAATAAGGTTTCTTTATAATTGAATGCACTAGTATAAAAAGTAATTTTGACTAAATATACAACAATATACAGCATATTAAATTACGTAAGGTGTTTTCGTTAATCTGTGTCGTTCATTATAGATGTAGTTACGGTATATTATATAATTCAAATTTGTGATTTCAAGAATGGCGGCGCGACTTAGATTTTTTTTAATAATGCTTTATTCATGACCATGGATACAAGTCCTTCAGTCGAATACATTTTTATAAACATCTATAATGTTGCCAGTTCTACTTGGAACTCGTATATATGTTTTTATGATGATAATACTATAATAGAAATCACCAGTGCAATAAAATAAGATAAGCATGAAGTCAGACCCAATAGAATAGAAATAATCATGTGCAGTTATGACTTCTTGGTACTATCACAAGTAAAAGTGTTTATATTTATCATGTAAGATCACAAATATTCAGTGCGGAAACGTGACTACAGTTTTATACCAGTGTTGATTATTCGGCGGTTTGTTGAATCGCGGTGTGGTCACGAAATTAAACAAAATAATTAAGCATTTCTTCCTTGTTTCCCGCACATTTCTTGAAATCACGCGAAGTGAAATAATTAAAAAAATATGGTCACACATTATGGTTGTGTCTCTTGAAATAGATATAGGTACTTTCTAGATCTATTATATTCTATAATTTGGAAAGCCTAAATGCCAATAATACTTATGCATTGTGTCTGGTTCACGATCAATATTTACTCGCTGCCTATTTCTATCGTATTTACAATTTCGCCATTTTTTATCTAAATCACTTTCTATTTTTATAGTATTATAGTAGAATCATGTTTTGAATCGATCTTGTAATTTTAATTATTAAAAAAATAAGTAAGAAACAAAACGTTGTAGTTTAATTTATCCTGTTCCGTATGTAGGTATATATAGAAGTGAATGTCTATGATTTACTTCTTTAGTCGTAAATACGTATATATTCACGACTGTAATAGATAGGGTGGACAATGTCGGCATTGTGCGCAAAGCACACATGGTCGTGTCCTTCAGGATATATTCTCAGGATATTACAGGCTCCACTGTGGAGATCTAAAGAGCGATTACGTCATTGCGAACGTACGGTCTGGCGTTTGTGCACAGACGGTGGGTTGGACCTGCAGTCTCTGCAGGCGGGGGCGGCATAAGTGATCTAGAAATGAATGTAGGTTTTGTCTATCCCTTTCCACTTTCGCCCGCAGCTGCATTATAGGATCTTGGCCTGGATCACGGCCGGTCCACTTACAGTGTCATATGCAGCGACCGGTCGATCTCTACTCCTAGGAAACGTACTGTGCGTTCCCATTTTATGGGCTGTCATTTTAGAGTGAGGGGCGTCGAATACAAGTCCCGGTGCTGGGACAGCAGCGCCACTGTTTTGTTGATGACAATATTCCTAGTAGTTCATACAGAAAACAAAAATGTGGTACCTATATAAAGATTCCTTGTCTCGCGTACGTTTGGTAACCCAGCTACAGAATACTTTGTGATTGATAATACGTGCTGATTTTTATATTTAGAAATAGAGTTAAGCCAAAAATTGTCATCTCTATTTTATTTATACCTAATTATCTACATCGTAATATATAAAAATCATTCATTTACACTGAAGTTCACGGAGTAACTTAAACAGAGCATAATTATTTCTGGCAACATTAACTACGGTATCTGTTGCCAGGGCCGTTACAATACTTACTAAATAGGTATCTGTTACACTGTTCTTGTCGGATGTCAAATTTGCGATTGTCATTTATGTCAATCTGTCACTAATACTTGATTACACAAACCTTGCACTTTTACTTTATTTACAAATTTTAATTATTTAGTTCATGTTAATTGCTGTAAAATTTCACAAATTTAATTATTCAAGATGAACTGCTGTGAGAATATTTCTATGCCGAGTTGTGTTTGGTTTGAGAGTGGAGAAAAACGTAATATCTTGGCATCTATATTCGCTGGACTTTTGGTTTGTTACATTTCTTTTCATCATTGATGATTCATAGATTTATTCTATATATATAATCAAAAATCTTTAATGATTGTTTTGAAACTTAGTTTTCATAGTTTAATAAACAGTACGAGGTAATATGTTTAATATTTATTCATGCACACATCAAAATACCAAGTGAATGAAGAGTTCTAATGTATACACTTTGTAGAACAATGATTGACATAATTACATATTATGAAAGATTTTATTCGTGTTATCCACATAAATCCAGCATTTTTTATACTTGTTACATCTTTTATTTATCGTTTTTTGTAGGTTTGAGTAATTTCACAAGTACTGCAAAATATTGAATAAAATTGTAGGCTGTAACCAGTGAATGAAGTTCTTTTTCTTTTGTTTGAACCTTTCTATTCAATAGTGGTATTGGTAGCACTTCCATAACTTATTCAAAAGTATAAAATTCGCAAAAGAATCTTTGTGTGAAGTAGAAACATGCTAGTTTCTCACTCATTTTTCTGGTAAAGAGTTTGCATTCCAAATGAGTGGTAGAAAAAAAAATACTATTCAAAAGTGCTTAGATTCAGCTTTAATAAAAATTATTTATATTCCTATTTAACAGTAACAGTACTAGAGAACCTTGCAATAATAAAATACAATTTTAAGGATGTGGTAATGCTTAAAATTGTATTTTTGCTCGGCTGAGTACCCACTATAATGAGCTAGCTTACTCAATAATAACCCCCAAAATGCATCAAAATAACACATATACTGAAGTTGAAAAACTCCAGTATATTCCTAAATTTACGCCAGAGCCCCTCATTAAACCAGAAGTCATGCACACAATGCAGCCAACTGCAGACTTGCATTGTCATCTGTCAACCAATCCGATTATAGTAAACATACTGATTGCAGATATACAAGGAACAAAAAAAAACTTCAGTTGTTCTGTTTGTGTTCCAGTTCTTCTCCGGTTGGTGGTTTATCATTGATGCAGCATCAGTGTACCGCGGCAACCTGCCAGATGCCGCTCATGTGTGTGGGGTGATGGCCACACTCTCGCTGATCATGGTCAATTCAGTATCTAATGCTCAGGTAATTGCTGTATTTCACATTTTGAGATGAACTTCTTAGCATTCCATGTGTGACCAGAGCGGGAACACAACTATTATTTCATTAAAAACTAGCTACTCGCCCCGGCTTCACTCGGGTGTACATGTATTATACATGTAAACCTACCTCTAGACTATTTATAAAAAAAACCGCTTCAAATTCCGTTGCGTAGTTTTAAAGATTTTAGCATACATAGGGACGGACAGACAGTGACCGCGACTTTGCTTTATACTATGTAATAATGAAGGGTCGGCAAAGTGCATGTAACAGCCATGGTGTCTCAGGCGTCCATTAGGTAACCATTTACCATCAGATGGGTTGTATGCTTGTTTGCCACTATATAATAATATAAAAAAAACATTGTTGCTGACAGCTGGTCTGCTATATTTGTTATTTTAAATAAATAATCGATCTCAATATTTACCATAACAATCATGCAAATTATAAGAAAGTTTTGATATTTGTAAGGGATATTCTTGAATGTTATAAAATTGTTAAATTTAAATAATGTATGTGACCTCCATTGTATTGTATATTGTAGGTGCGCGGCGAGACATACACAGGGGGCTGCATGGGGCCCCGCGGGGCGCGGCTGTGGCTGTTCCTCGGGTTCGTGGTCGGATTCGCCTCACTGATCGCCTCCTGCTGGATACTCTTTGCAAATTACGTCCATGCCGGTATGTGTACAGTATACAGTTTACACATTTTTTACACACTTACTATAATAATAGTAACCTAGAATATTCACACAACGTTATTTAATCTCAATCTAAGTAGTGTTATGGATACAACTGATATATATTTATATATATTTGTAAATATATATATATATATAAGATACATAAAAAACACTCAGAACAATACAAACATACTCAAAATACATATGTTTGTTCCGTCTGAGGAATCGAACCCATGACCGCCAGAATAAAGGCGGTATGCTAAACTACTAGACCACCGGGGCCATCAAGGTTGTGAAAGTGAAATTAATATTATTAATTGTTACCAGGCGGCAACAAAGCGTCATGGCCTGGAGTGAGTTTGTTCCTGCAGAACGCCCTCATCTTCGCCAGCTCCCTGGTCTACAAGTTTGGTCGCACCGAAGATCTCTGGGGTTAATCGCTCCATTCACAATCTCCTTAAAATTCAGTCCATTCTGTTTACAACAATGTTTTTTATACTACATTAGCAGTAACACTCCTCATATACTCCCGATGCCTCGACTAATTTAAACGAGTATCTAAATTACGACGATCTGAGCCGAGGTTCGAACTAACGGTGTCCTCAGGCAGCAGTTGGCCTTCAGCCTCTCCATAAGTCCTTCCGCGGGTGTGTAGTGCCATCTGCACTCGTCCCCTATCGTCCGGTGAAGCTGTAAAGCCCAGCTGCGGCCAAAGCATTAGAGTAATCCGAAAACCCGGACTCCTGATAACACTATGTACAACCAAACATATGTATAATGTCTACTCAAGTATTACCTTATGTAGGATCGTTCGATGAAGCTGTAAAGGCCAGCTGCAGCTAACAGCATTAGTATGGTTCTAAAACAGAAACTCCTAATGTAGTATAGAAATACCGGACATTGATTTAAAAATGTATTAATGAAAAGTATATAAAATTAATATATAAATACTGTGAAATTACATGTGAGGATGTGAGGCCTGATATCTTTGTCCTCTGGATGGACAATAGTATGATGTTCGTAGTGCTGTTCATGTACACAGGCTGTCCCAGAACTCAACGCACGCGTTTAAAAGGAGGGCCTTTCAAAGTCGACAAATTTTGAAAATTTTTCATAGTTTAACAAATAGTCTTAATTCTAGAAAACTTGGGGCAATTGTGTCATTATTTTTGACTGTGGTCCTAGAAATGTTATTTAGGGTTACGGTTCCAAAGTTTAAACGAACAAAAATAATAAAAATTAACCACAATAACCGAAAAATGGTTACATTTTGACCAAATTTCTAGGTTTTTCTTAAATGCCCATAATTTTCAAACTGCATGGATAGATTTTTTTATTTTTTTTCTCATGATGGTTGCAATCAATGCTCTCACCCCGTTTCGGCTTCACGTTGAGTTCTGGGACAGCCTGCATAGGCGACGGTTAACACTTACCATCAGACAATTCAACTTGTTTGCCATTTAAAAAAAAAAATATTTATAAAACTTATAAATTAATACTTCATAATATTCAGCAAGGTTTCGGAACAAATTTATGTGACTAGTTTTTAGAGCGTGTAATATTACATATACCAATATGTGGATATGATTTGTATTCTATCATTAATTGAAAATATATTTAACACGTTAAAGACATGCCCACCGGTGGGGTCACTCCGCAACGAAAATTTACACGTCGGGACCGCGAGATCACCCGTGCTCACTTTAATTGAAATAAATCTCGTGGCTAAATAATGTCCACCTCGAATTATTGTACACTAAAATAATATTAAAAAAACAATATACGTAATTAAAAAAAAAGCCGGTCCCTATGTGAGAAATAAGATTTTTCAATGAGGTCTTCAACGTGTTATATAGTAATAGGGTAGTGCGTTAGTGAAATTCAGCAGCTGGTATTATTCCGAACAATTCCTAACTCCTTTTCACACAGCGCCATCTAGTCCCAAGCTAAGCAGAGCTTGTGTTATGGGTACTAGACAACTGATATAAATCCATGGAAACATTTTTTTTTGTAAATAAATACATATTATATATAGAAAACACCCAGACCGATACAAACAATAATAATAATATAATACTAGTTAGTGAAGTCGGAGTGCAGAAACTTAATTTTGAATTATGAATCTCTTTTTAATTGTAACTAACGATAGAAACATTATGTGCAGTTACTGTCCTAATCGATAATGACAAGTAACTCCAACAATTGTGAAAACCCTTGAGTTAACTATATCAAAACATGAATTTGTAAACGCATCCTATCAGATATTATTGTTATAAAATTATTCATTGGTGAGATGTCAATCTGGTTTATAAAATATACCTTACTAGCTGTTCGTGAATCCGCCTACGTGGAATTTCACTTTTATTTTTTATTAAATATAATATAATATTTAAAATATAAGTTGCCTAAGTTACTCCTTATTATATTAGTTATCTGCGAGTGAAAGGTCTGTTAAAATCGGTCTAGCCGTTTCAGAGATTAGCAAAAACAGACAGACAGACAAAAAAAATGATTGATCTAATATGCTTATCTTATTGTCTCCCTTTGGTGCCCCTGGTGCCCCGCCAGCGTAAATCGTTAGCGCAGGTGGGTGCATTACATTATCTTCCATCAAAAAAAATGACTTCTCTATCTATCTATTTATAGGAGTTGAGATATTTCGTATATCAACATTTAGTTTATCATATACCGAGGGAAAAATATATGTTATTTTTATATATGCCTCTGCCTCCTCTATTTGTCTAGTGTTGTGATTGCTTTTAATTATTATTTTAGTAGGAATATGTATCTAAAGTTTTTCTAACTGTAGAATTATAAAAGATGATTGAAAATATGAGAAATTGGGAGAAAAGAAGAAAGTTCTATGTGTAGTTAACGAATTATTGTAATAAGTATTTAGATTTATATACTAACGATTATATATAAAAGCAAATAGACTTTTGTTAGACTACAGTTTTTTAATAAAAAATATGTTGAAACATACAACTTTAATAATTTTGTGTTAATAAAAAATGCAATCTATATATTGATGTATAGAATTCAGATTCATTTTTAAATAAATTATAAAAAAAAAAATACATAAAATTGCCCTTTAATATTTCGATACAAATAATGAATTTACCTTGAAGAAGCCACAATATAATAATAGCTGAAATAGTGTTATCGATTGATTTTTTAATTAAATTAATATTTTGTGCGTATGATTAGGAAAATCACGGGATCTTACCACATTAAAGAACTGCAGTGGGTTCTATACTAGAACGTGAATCTATTAATAGGCATCTACCAGATTTGTCTGGGCAGGAAACACGAGCGGTGATGGAGAGTGTCGAAGTATGTCAGCAAAGGCCTTAAACTTACACCCGGGTCACAGGTCCCGGGAACTGCTCAGAGTTTCCCTCTCTGCCACACGATGGACCTCGCACCCGCACAGTGAATGCATGGAATACTAAGAAGTTCGTCTCTCTTTTTAGATTTCCCGATATTTCGATAGAGTTGTAACTCTATCGGAATATCGGGAATTCTAAAAGTTGTAACTGTATCTGTGGTAAACTGATCGAATAAAAATAAATAAATCGTGGTAAGATTCTGTGTATTTACTTAATTTAAGTATAAATAATGACCGATTCAAAATTAGAAATTATATAACATTTTGTTATCTTTCATTACATATATGCAACAGTATGTTTTTTTTTATATAATTAATGAACCAAATAATGTAGGTACTGATGTTAAAACTGATTTTTATTATACAATAAAACACACTATATACAAAATCATTTAATTTAAATTCTCACACATTCCCAATAAGGATCATACATAAAAGAGATAGGCGTATATTTCCGTTTCTATTCTTTGCACACTGCTCGTATTTTGTATGTTAATTGAATAACGCCTGTTATATTCCTTATAACTAAATTATATGTATGGACAGTCATATGTCAAAAACATATCTAACATATTATAATTTATGTAATTCATTAGTAAATCTTTGGAATTGTTCAGTCAAAACAGACTTTATATAGTACTAAAATATTTAAGTACCTATTATTACATGTGACTGTATATTTAGGGTTTGCATAGACCTACTACAGTGCTTTCCGTGAGCGTACAGGGTGGAGAAATTTGGTGAGTGGAGAGGTATGACCATCCCCCTGAAATATTGTATGCGTTACAATATATTAGGTACTAACCCTGGAAAAATCACATCGAGGCTTAAAATATAACTAGTCTTCCTGGAACGAAGCAAATCTGACTACACCCCTACTCTCCAGGTAAGTTAAGTACCTACCCCCAGATGCCTTCTGTTTATATTCAAACCAAGGTCTGAATTTCAAAAATGCAATGTTCTTTTTAACAGAATGTACCCCAAGATATTGGTCTTTCGTCTGCGCAAACCCTATTTATTACCTAATTTGAAACTAAAAAACTATTTCATACAATTTGTGACTGAGTATATGACAAATATGAGTTTCGAAACTACAACAGAACTTTGTTACTACGCTATAATAAACTAGATGTTTTAATGTTAACTAAAGATAATAAAAACAAAATAAGTTAACTACAGATAAAAAAAAACAAAAACTGAATATGCTCCGTTCATATTGACTTGATGCGTGGAGTTAATGTTTTATAATCTATATCATATCATAATTTATTTGCAAGACATATATTTGTTTCATGTAATATATTGTATGCTACAATCTAAAATTTTATAAAGATCCAATCCAAATATTATGTTCAATATTATTTGAACATTGTTTAGATCAGTGATTCCCAAAGTGGTATATATCGACCCCCAGAGATCTATGACAAACTGCAAGGAGTCTACGACAGCGGTCATCTTGTTTTTACTTTATGTTTTTAATACTAAACTTACTACAGTTACTTTACTACAGTTAGAAATTTACAAAAATTCATTACCATGTAAGAATGGGGGTCTACCCAAAACCGAAAAATATGGCAAGGGGTCTACGACACAAAGTTTGGGAACCTCTGGTTTAGATGAATAATAATAATTACCAAATCTAGCTACAGTATTAATCATATATTATATTGTTGTTGGTAATGTACTAATATCATCTTATCTGTGGTAATATTAAATTGTCATCGATTTGTCATTCATTTCAAGTCTCATTAATCGAGTAGTAGCATTACTTCAATAAATAATGTTTAAATTTGTTTTGAAATTGCCTTTTGAAAAAGCATATATTTTAAATCGCTCGGTATTTTATTATATACTTTTCATATATTATCGGGATCTTTAATAATATTGTGGTAAATGTCTCGTTTTTTAATGTATATATAATCTGTGAATGTATTATATATAATCTGTGACGGTTTACAGTTGCGTTCATTTCAACGAATGCCACCAAAACGTGGCGTTAAAATAAAAATATTTACGTCTAAATGATTTGATTCTCCTCATAAAACCCATCTCCCGTGACACACGTTCTGCTGCCTTGTCCATTAGGCAGGCATAGTTCATTTGGCAGACACTGCCCGTTCCTGTACTGGCACACGTTGGAACCTGGTGGACAGGCGTCAGGAGCCACCGCCAGGCCGTACAACCTCGTCGGCTTCGATGTTTCAACCCGCCCCTTGATTTGGGTTGTAATGTCTATGTATTCTATCTGTAAACTAAAAAATAAAGGTAGTTATAGTGGTTTAGCAATATAGCACACCGCTTTAATTACAATGGTCGCGGGTTCGATTCCTCGCACAGTACAAACATTTGTATTCATGAGTACCTATTGTTGTTTGTATCGGTCTGAGTGTTTTTTATGTATATTGTGTGTATTTACAAAAAATGTATTGATGTAAGTATTTCTATCAGAAGTCTGGTACCCATAACACAAGTTCTGCTAAGTTTGAGACTATATAGTGCTGTATGAATTATCCTATTATTATTATTGATACCTTATTTCTCAGAAATGGTAACGCATGAGAGCTAATATGAGAGTAAAATAATATTTGGATGTCAACTGGGCCTCCCCAGGGAATATATGAAGCTTAGATGGAAGCACTATTCCATTATTATCCATAATTAATGAAATTGCAGGTACGCTCTTTCACTCATGAATCGACTTTCACGCAGGAAAGAACGTGCATGTAAATGTAGACAAAGAGAACGAGATAGATCGCACATTCCCGCTCGTGCGTGCTTTCGCGCCATTTTATTGTTATTAATTATCTATGCGCAAAATGGCGGATATCTGACTATATAAAACATGGCAAATAAAGACAAAATATTATTAGAGTTATTGATAATTTATAAATGTTTAAAGTGTCTTCGGAAAATAAAATCAGTGGATTAAAATTTTAAATTTTAAAAATTAACACGAATCATAAGCTCTATCACGCGCGAAAGACTGAACACAAATGATAGTAAAATGCAATCACTCGATTGTTCTCACACGCGCTAAATCGGGTCGGGTCGGTAAACGCGCATGTGACACCCCTGGTGTATCAGGCGTCCATAGGCCGTGGTAATCATTTACCATCAGATGGGCCGTATGCTTGTTTGCCACGTACGTGGTATAAAAAAAATCGTGCGTGAAAGGTGTCGTGTAAAGACAGCTATTGGCTGGTTTAATTTATACTATTACATAAAATAGGCATTAGATTAGTATTCCTTTGTAACCTGCGTTGGAGTCCGCCATAGACAACTTCATTAAAAGCGATCATTCAAATGAAAGGCACTTAAGCGTGCCGAGAAGCAGTAAATAAAAACTTGTAATAATCTAATTAGTGGGCGCGTCTTGTCTAATGATTCACAAAGAATTTATCCGATTGTCACGTTGAATTGTAATTATTAGATTGAAATGGCATTCAGGATTACTGTCTACCTGACGCCATATTTAAATAAAACTGACATCACGTTATCATGGATGAAAATTGCTTATATTTATTTATATTTTAAAAGTATAAATAATAGTGTGTTCACCCAATTTCAGAGACCTTTTTTTACGAGGACAAATGAAAAAACAATATATTATTAAACATTATAATTGTCTTGAATTGTTCATACGAATGAGCTAGAGATAGGTCCTTTTTTATTTTGGTGAAAATCGAGTTTTCTGTTGCATTACACTATAGTCAAAATTTCATCTATTTTAAATAGTTATTGTAGAAAACTATGAAAGTAGCACGTTTTCTACGTTGATAATGTTATTATTCGTTAAGGTTTTATTTTATTTAGCTATCTTTATGAATGCTGTCTCGTGCGTGGTGGTGGCCCCACTGAAAATCAACGTTGTGGTAATAGTACTATATGTTGAGTTCGAGTTACATTTAACATTACTAGGTTTAACTTTGAAGATAAATATAGTATAAAAATTCATGTTAAATTCTACTAATACTGATGTAATGTAATGTGTGTTAATCTGTGCTTAATTTGGGACGAGATATCACTATGTGAGTCTTTATTGTGATATTGTACTTACGTTCTCCAATCTGTCCAATAGAATTTATTTCCACTTATGGCCAGTCCGAAGGGATACGTGCAGTTTGTAGCAATTGTTACTCTTTCCAACGTATCGATCCCCACGCACTTGATAGCCGAAAGACCGGCATCAGCGTAGCACAACCGATCTCTCGACCAGTCGATGGCCAAGGAATTGGGCAGTTTTACATCACTCTGGTCGAGGAACACGCCTCGTTGTGAACCGTCCATGTTTGCCCACTCGATTTTAGCGCCCAAGCGGTTCCAATCAGACCAAAACACTTTGCTGAAAACAAACGAGTGATTTAATAATTGCACTATCCAATTTTCACTTCCGAATTTGTCGTTTTTTAAGTTACAGAGTTTCACTATCTGTTTGGTTTAATATAAATGGAGGACCCACCGCAACACATTATTCATCTGCGCTAATAATTCTTTTTCGATCATCATTAATTTTAACTTTTTCTTTGCTCGACTGATAAGAGTAGCAACGTGATATTTAATACCCTGTAACTTTCTTCAAGAATTTCGCTATATTATGTTAAAAGTTATTTCAAATTCTACCGGTGGTTTCAGAGATAAGCGCGTCCAAACAAATAGACTCTGTAAGTCTAAATATATTTGTGCAGTTTTGCAATACTTACCCTTTCTCCGGGTGTACGGCGATACCTCTAGGATTAGTGATACCGTTCCCAGAGAATAACACTTTTCTGACCTTCGTATCAATGTTAGCAACTTCAATGGTATATTTCTTTGAGTCAGTCCAAAATATATTTCTCGCTGTCCAATCTACTGATATACCTTCGGGTGCTTTAACATCTGCAAAAATTATAAGTTTTAAAGTAGGGGCAATAGGTACTTGTAACAATCTGACTTCTACTGTGTTCGAAAACATATTTTTTCCTATTTCTTCCCATTTCTTCTAACCACAAAGTATTCTTCCGCTAGCTTAGGTTACTGATACAATCAGTTGTCAGTCATTTGGCTTTTTAAGAACCACCCTCTTCGAAAGATGCGCTAATTGGAGTCCATCAAAACATTAGTTACATTCGGACAACCTGACGAACGACCTTAGAAGGTAGATGTACTTTGTTACAGAACAGACGATTTTCAACTTTTACACAATAGCAATTTGTTCGCTTATACATTTGCACAAATACACGCATTTAGGACCTTAGTCATAATTATAATTGTAAGACTTACCATTTGGTAGGAAATAATTGAATCCGGAACCATCGTAGGCTGCACTTTTTATGCTGTTGCCAATAACATCACCCCAATATATGGTTCCTCTTTCACAGTCTACGTCTACTCCGACCGCTGTTTGGTAGATAGCACTATTTATTGGGGTCGGATATTGTCTGGTGTTCGTATGGAATGGTACGCGATATACCGAGGCGCCATCGCTCACTACTAAGAAGTTGCCATTTTGTCTTGGGTTCAGTTGGCAAACACTTCCATTTCCATTGTATCCTGAGTTGCATACGCATTCGTATGCATCTCCTCGCTTCAGACACGACGCGTGACTGTCGCACCAATTCGGAATTGTTCTACAGTTCTCCTCCAGGGTGCAAGTATATCCATCTCCTATATAACCTTCTCTGCATTGGCATTGATATGTACTTTCGACTGGAGTGCATATAGCGTCAATGCTGCAATCGTTGAGTTCATTGCATGTCTCGAATCTTTGAGCTGGTGAACATTGAGTCACACCGTCACCATCGTATCCGTCGTCACAATGGCAGTAATGGACATCGATCTCCGCATCGTACAGGCACGTTGCGTACTGCACGCATTGCGCTCCGTTACATAACTGTCCGGGTATGCAAGCGTCGTTTTGATCCTTAACGTAGCCCTCGATGCATTGACAAATGTATGCATTACTGTTGACATCGAAGGTGCACCCTGCATTGTATTCGCAGTCGGAGTCGTTGGTACAGGTGAAGATTGGACTGCATTCGTAACCATCACCGCGGTAGCCGCTGTTACACATACACAAGTACTGTCCGTTCGGCGTGGCCACACAGTGGGAGTACGGTCCACATCTACACGTGTATCCTGTTCGCTCGATACATTCGTAAGCGTCTCCCTCGTATCCTTCAGGGCATACACAGTGTCGTGACTCTTCTGATGAGTCGTTGCTGGGGGAAGTACAAATCGCGTTTGGAGGGCAGTCGCCGTCATGTGAGCATCTAACTGAAATATACAATATATTGTTAAGAAAATAAAAATAATGTACACACAATTACTAGGTATATAATATTTTAAAGTAGTATATACCTAGTAATTGTGTGAATAGAGATTTATTCAGTAAATAAAATATAAAAATGTATTTAAATTATAATGGTTAACACTAGAAAATTACCGAGATAAAAAAGTGACATATTTTATAAAAATGTTTAGCTCATAAACAGTTATCTATAAATAACTAAACAAGCGACATAGTTTTTGAAGCTTCTTAATATTGTCTTATAGATAATAGCAGTCTTTAGGTTCTACACAAGCATCTCGTATAATAAAATTTTTCTTATTTCTAATCCGAAAGTTATAATAATTTCCAATTTAAGCTAAACACTCATTATTCTCACCTCAGTTTTGAGTCAATTATATCAATTAGGGAATACTAAATCTGTATGAAGTCGATGAAATTTGTGTGAACAATTAAATTAAGTATCTGTTTATAAATATTTCTAACATCCTGAAATAGTTAATATCAGAAATATCAGAACCATAGTGTGGTATTCATATTATATTATTTATGCATAAACACGTATGTTATTAAGTAAGTAATGGATGGATTTTCTACAATACATTTAAATAAACATGAACGCATATAAATTAAAATATAATGTTAATAAAATTGTTTAAATATCAATATGCGTTTATCTCTGCAAGAGATCTTTGCTAGCCATTTGACAAAGACATTAGAGGTAATTAGCTAGTAGACCACGAGTCTTCCAAAGACATAAATATTATAGAATATACTAAGACTGCATTGTTGTAACTACAGACGAAGTCACGGGCTTAGCTACTAATAAATACAATCGGTGATATTAAAAATAATACTTACGTGAGGAATCGTATCCATCTGATTTTTCTGTAGCTGGTACATAACTGTCAATCCGACACAGTTCGTTATTAAACTCGCGGAATCTTGTGTAACCCGTTGGGCATACGCAGCTGATGGAATCGCAGTGAGGAAGCACAAAAGTCTCATTGTAAAGTGATTCAGTCTCTGTATATATTGTAGGTGTTGTCGTACGTTGATCTTCAGTGCAATAATAACCGTCGCCAGAATATCCTGCGTGACATCTACATTCATAACTCCTCGTGTTTTCCGATATAACACAAGAAGCGTCAGGGGAGCACGCGTTGTTACATGGGATCACTGGCCAACACTGTATACCGTTACCGGTGTAACCAGCGTTACAAACACATGTAGGATCTCCTAAATAGTTTAATGTACACTGAGCATTAGCATTACAGTTCTTATCTTTGCACGGCGATGGCGCCTGACAACTGAAACCGTCGCCTTCGAAGCCATTTCGGCACTCACATTGAAATCCTCCATCCTCGTTTAAACAGTCTGCATTTACGTCACAGTTGTGAGATCCAGCAGCACATTCATCAATATCAATGCACGCAATGGTATCCTCGATGTAGATGTCTGAGTAACCTGATTGACATTCACAAGTGAACGTGTCGTCTTGTACCACACAAGTGCTATGCGGACCGCAAGTATTTTGTCCCCCTGTACATGGATTTTCTAGTCCTATGGGTGTTACTTTATTACTCGTCCCGTATCTAACTATATTTTCGGCGATCTCATAACCCAGATAATTCTTCGTGATTATCAGTGTGGTCTGCTTTTTGTCTTCCTGGCTAAAGGGCGCAAAACGACAAGGACTGTATGTAAAACTTTGGGACACTGTTTGCTCGTATTCCTGAGATGTACGTCTATCTTTGAATTTTCGAGTCGACTGCGAGTGAACGAGACCAGGTTCGTCAATCGTATATTGTTCTTGGAATTCAGATATATCCAGTTTCGTATCGTTTAAGAGAGGAGGTAGCGTTCCTTCAACAAATACTCTGATTGTGATCTGATCAAATACATCATGACCCAAGTATTCTTGATTAATTGTAACCAAATTATTTGTTCCAGGGAAATAAATATTAGCAGTGTGATTAAATAATGATCCTGTCAATTGGTAACCATTTTTAGCGCCTCCGATAGTTTTAGCGAATAGCCAACCGATCGTAGTATCTAAAACAGTTAAGAACAGTAGAGTATTTCCAATAATTGGTGGTACTTGGGTCAATGCAGTATAGGATCTGCCATCAGAGACCACTACGTAAGCCTGTATGTCAACATCTTCCAGGTTCACACCGTTTATGCGACCGTTCAATTTCCCATGTACTCTAAGGGGCACGTCATCTTTAACGCATGATTTTCCATTACCATAAAATCCTTCATTGCATTGACAGCAGATGCCGGCTTCATAGTCGACACATCGGGCTCGCGTGTGACATAGGCTCGGTCCACTCTGAGCACAAGTTTTAGATTCTTCCTCGAAATCGAAATCAGTTTGGTTGTATTGATCTGGAATTGCGATTTCGCCCTCAAGTGGTATATTTCCAACACGAAAGACGTATTTTCCAGGCTGTTGGGTGTTTGACCATCTGAAATAAAGAACCTGAATAAAATGATGACTATGGTGCTGTTTATGTATACAGGCTACAACTAAAACTTAACAATAAATGAGTCATTAGCTTGTTTGCCATTCCAATTACATAAACATAATAGTTAATTAAATATTTCTCTCTTATCATAGTCCCCTAAGTTACTTTCTATCCGGTTTATCCCGGTGTTAAGAATTTGCTGTGGCAATGAAGTGTTCACTATGTAATTTGTGATAATCGTAGATTGATATATGACTGTTCTTCGGGAACTTTTATTATTTCAGTTACTTTGCACAGATTTATTTAATAGTAAAGATACTTACGCGACTACATTGCGAACTTGATCACTCCCAGAATTTCTGATTGTATAAACGCGTCCATCTTCAGAAACGAAACCTACTTGCGCTTTAGCATCTGGCAGGCTCAACTCTTCGGGTTCTCTTTGTATCCACTGTATTTCCCGATCAGGGTACAATAGTTCCACGAAACTTTCCGTACCATTGCTGATCACAGCTATTTGGAAGCTGTTCGTCTGTTTTTGTATATCCGTACTCTTGAAAGTAACATCGAGCCAAGTGGCAATGAAAACGCTGGTAGGTTTGAAGTCGTAATAGTCGTGGAAATTGTCTTGTACGCTTTCTTCCGCTTTGGATAGTACATGAGATTCATCTGTTTCTCTATAATATACCGCGCCCGATTCTGAAGTGTCTACGTTAGTGTAGAATGCCGCTATGGACGGATATGGCAGTGGGAATTCTGCATTTAGAAACGATGGAATATCAGCTCTGAAGGAAATTATACCGAAGTTGTTTACCTGTAATTAACATACACAAATATTTCAGAATGAATAATCATTTTATATAGCTTAATAAAAGTTATGTCTGTCCTTAATATATTATATATAGATTGTCATTAATGAAGATAGAAAGATAAAAGTTTTTCTGTGGCTTTTTTGAGTTAGATTAATTAAACAGAAATTTGTATTTTGCTTTTACTTGGCACAGCTAATATAATTATATGTTCATTCACAATTTGGTGTTTTTAATGGTTTTCAACGATTACATCAATGGACAACATTTTTTTTTACCACGTAGGTGGTAAACAAGCATATGATGGTAAACGATTACCATAGCTTATGAATGCCTGAAACACCAGGGATGTTACGTGCGCGTTGCCGACCTTTAAGAAACTTTAATATGGCAGGTAGTACATTCCACAATCTAAGTGTACGCGGGAGGAGGCTCCTCTAAAACCGTACTGTCCGAGACCACTTAATTTCCAGCGTTTGAATGAATTCCCTGTCGATGGCGAACGGTGTGATGGTAAAAGGTAGCCGTGGCCATCATGTCAAACAATTCTTCAACGTTGAAATGTACATGTTAGAAATTTAGATCTATCATAAACACAATCGGGAGTTCAAGACCTTTTCGTGTATGATAAAAATGTCGGAATTAGATAATGCTATCAACTGGTCAGTTCTTACAGACGTTTACATAAATAACGATGTTTTACAACAATATATCCTGATCTGCTAATTCTGGTTGCTCTCCAATGACCTCTGGCTTGATGATTAGATAATTCAATAATAGTGTCCTATTATTTTAAACGACCAATTCTTATATTTTGTGAATCTCGGTAACTTATATATAAAATTCTAATGCTAGTTACCATACTCCTCCGAAATGGCTTAAGCGATTTTTATGAAATTTTATATATTCAGTAGGTCTGTGAATCGGCTACTATCTATTTTTCATACCCCTAAGTGATAAGGGTTGTCCACCATAACAATTTTTAATTTTTTTTATAATTTTTCACCTTTATACAAACAACATGTATTTTTAATAGTGATATTAGTACTTAAATTTATATGGCAAAACTACGTTTGCCGGATCACCTAGTGTTATATAAAGACGAAGTTATTGTATGTCACGTTTTTTTTACGTATAATAATGAAATGATGCACCCACCTGCGCTAACGTTATACGTTGGCGGGGCACCAGTGGAGGATGATAAGATGAACATGAGGTCAGGTCATTTAGCCCATCGTGACAAATTGACTAGGAATTTACCATGATGGTTTCCAGTTCCCTAACTGCATGGAGGTCAATCTGACATGGTACATTGCTAGTAATGGGGTCATGAGTACACATTACTGTCAATCCCCTTCCCCCGTCTCTCACGTTATTTTTATCATAACATATTGTTTTGAAGACGGTTAAATTAGGCTAAACATCTACGTGTAATCTTGTACTAAAATGCAGCGAAACAATATTTGCAAAAGATAGCGGCGCCGCGGCTCGGTGTTTCGGTGCAACGGACGCGTGTGGGTTGTATCCCCCGATACACTCGCGGTCACTGACAGCGAGACACCGAAACTAAATTTCGCGGCCGAAATTCAATTCGGTTTCGGACATATCCGATATTTCTTTTGACCTTCTAAAATGGACTTTCGTAGAATAGACTGACTTTTTGTCGTTTTTTCTCTACTTCGCCTTGTTTATTAAATGTGTGGTGCAATAATTTACAAAAATAATAATTGAATATTGCATTATGTTTACCTTTACGACTGGTATCTCAGTTGGGATTGGCAGAAAGTATTTTTAACTGATGACGTTGTGATGAAATAATTTGGTTTGTTACCGGTGTTTCCCATTACAGTAGAGTTACTTGAAAACTTCAATTACAACACAAAATATTAATTATAGTTAAAATTATTACATTATTTCGTTTGTAAATGCATATAAAATATATAAAGAAAACACTCAGACAATAATAGAAGCAGTAATATTTATGGATATAATATATTGTAACACGAATTTGTGAAGAATGTATGAATCAGGGACGTTAGCTCCGTAACAGTAACCGAAACTATCGGATATCCGATATAAAAGAATATTCGTAACCGTAACCGAATCCGAAATAAGTTTCGGATAATATCGGATAGGGGCCGAGCCTAATAGAGACACGTTATGTAACCATTTTATTAGCCATTTGCATTTTACTTTTGAAATTCCTTAAAAAAATAATATCCGTAATAAAATTATCCGAAACTAATGGATAATCCGAAATAATTTCATATCCGTATCCGGTATACTAATTATTCCTACATCCGAAACCTGTCCGTATCCGAAATGTCATATCCATAACATCTGTGGTATGAATATTTCTTACTCATGCAAAAACTACTGGACAGATTCGAAAAAAATTCAGCACACCGACAGGCTATTTTCTAGATGAACAGATACTAGAACATTTTAACCGATTCGCGCAAGTAGAGGGACATAACATGTATCTGATAGACCACTTTCCAGATCAATAGATACTAGGACATTTTAACCATAGCCATACACGCAAGGACAAAGCACGCAACGCATAGGAACATAACTAGTATAAAATATTATACATAAGTGATTGAAATGTAAAACGTAACGTCGATGGTTTAAAAAAAAAAATAAGGTGTGTACGTACTGGTGTGTGTGTAATGTACTGGTTTTAGCAGGCATTAAAATAACAATTGTTTACTACATGCATATGAACATAAATACGGCACATACACAGAAAAAACATTTTTTTACAATTTTTGTCTCTCTGTCTGTCTGTCTGTTTGTTCCGGCTATTCTCTGAAATGACTGGATCGATTTCGACGGGACTTTTTTTGGCAGGTAGCTGATGTAATAAGGAGTAGTTACTAAAATTTATCTTTGTCATCAAGTTGTGTCACGTAATAAATAAATATATCACCACAAAATATTCTCCTTCTCAGATAAACAAAAAGTGTTCAAATTAATGTTAATATATGTGTAAAATAAGAGATGGATTATCAAAAAAATTGTAGTGCAGTAGATGAATATAAACTTAGTTCTTATAATTACAGTTTTATTACTTAAATAATAGTTTTCTGCATCTCAATGGTAGATCTGTCACCAAATAAATCGATTATCGATCCCTGACTGCGACTCCTTTTTATTTCTTATTTTGTCCCAATACAGTAGTTACATTTTATTTCATTCAGTTACTAACCAATTTAATACATCCATTTATAATTTTAATGAAAATATGTTCAAAGAAGCGGAGACAAATCATCGCGCTCTTATAAATTGACCAGTCCGGCCTCAACGATGGAAATGCAACTGCCCTACGTTTTACAAAAAATATATGTGCAAATATATAATCGGATTAGCCATACGCTTAAAGCTGGCCAACCGCACCAGAAGCAAAAAAGGAGGCGCCCTTCAAAATCCAAACCAGCGCTGATTATTCAGTAATTATTATTTTTAACAATAAAGACTGCTAGAAATTTTATTAAAATATATTTATACTACCTGCAAAAATCCTTGGGGGAAGCATATCTCTAGTTAAGTAGTAGGAACTTTATGAAATTTTCTAGTGACTTCATATGATTTATTGGTGATCTCTTTATATTAGTTAGCTTAAATAATTATTAGGACAAACCTATTATAATGCATACAAAAACATTTATTTGGAACTAGACCCTATCATTATTTTAGATGATTGATTGTGGAATTGATTTTATATTGTTTGGTGACAAATCTACTATTTTGCGGGCAAACGCTATTATTTAAGAAACATAAAACTAATTAAATTGGCGATTGCTTAAATAAATACAACAATTACATTACTACTATAGTAATAATTACATTGAAATAAAATATTAACTTACGAAAACTGTCTCGTATGTTTCTCCATAGAAAACAATGGGCACTTTCAAGGGTATCTCTGGAGACGACACTTGGTTTCCTCTGGGCAATCTCTGGTCCAGTCCAGACCCGTAAGTGTAGAATTGGTCTCGCGTGATAGCGCAGGCGCATGTCGCCAGGAGAAATACTCCTGCGTACGTCCACATTGCGACACAACCCAACAGATACTATTGACGTTTACAATCTTGTGTTGCCCACACAGAACAAATAAGTCCACTAGGTGCACCTCCTAAAACCACCAAATAACCATCGAATCATCTCTTTAAAGATACCACTATTAAATTTGATTTAAAACATTTATTAAATTTTATTTGTTCACATTCACGTATTAAAAAGCTAAAAGTAAAACATCTTTACGTAGTACTAAATGCTTCCACTGTCTGTTCAAACTCAGCAACGGATTTTAATGCAGTTTTTAGCAATAGATAGAGTGATTCAGAGGAAGGTCTATGGTTTATATGTATAAAATATGTACACGTACACCCCTGGGAAGCCAGGGCGGGTAGCTAGTACCTATATATATATTTAAGTTTAGGAAACAACACAATATCAGAGCTGCAGAATTATCTGTAGCTTTATGCTTAGTTGGTTACCTATTCACCTTTGCGGTACATAATTCCACCTGCATTTTTTTGTACCATTTATTTTTTCTGTTGCTACATGTATACTATGTGTTTATAATTGGGGAGTAAAGAATTTATCTATCTAAATTAAACTTGTGTTTAAAAAAATGCTTATTTTTTATTAACAAAAAAATATACAAATACATTAAGAATTTACTTACATTATTTAAATTAATTACGTATAGCTCTTAAATTGTATGTTCATTTGAATACTAAATTAACCACGAAACTGTTCAAATGAATGATTTCTCTATCTATTTTTAATTTCTAATCATTTTTTGGTTTTCCAAGTGCACTAAAAATTCACAAACCACCAGATATCAAATTAGACCATCAATGGGGTCATCAAAACCACCAGTCTTAGTGGTAAATCCACTAAGGTGGCAACACTAATTGGATCCACTGGAGACACACATTTTGAATATAACGCCACTATAAAACAGAAATAGATGAAAACTCTCGTTCTCGCGTCCACTTTCAACAACTTTTGCTTTTAAATAACGTCGCGGCGTGTGCAACTGCTATTTAAGAGATATGCTATTGTTATCTATATTAATATATAAAAGCGGAAGAGTTTGTCTGTTAAAACACGCTATTCATTCGAACAATCATATGTCTGCTTGAAGCGATCTTCCACAATTCGTTTGTCCAGAATTTTTAGAACACAACGACTTTGGAAATCCCAGCATAAGTATTTTCTTGTGTATATAAGGTAAGAGGGTTTAAAAAATCGTCTACACACCTTCCTTGATATATGGGCTATTAAAAGTTTTTCAAATCTAACTATTCGTATTTTTTTTTATTTTTTCTCGAGTTTTGTGAGTTCGCTGTTCAAACAAACTCTTCAGATCTATTCCAAATTAAATTAATAGAAATTTAAAAAAAATCCTCTGTCTAACATTCTAGAGGTTCATTTCCTTCATTCATGCTCTTGCTCTCTCGGTGGAGCTCTTGCCACCTTCCACAATCTTCTGATAGAAGAACCTTTTAGCTGTTGATACGACACGACTCCAACTTTTTCCTTCATTTGCTTGATATAGCTGTGTCTTGGGCTTCCCCTTCCTCTCTTTCCATCTATTTTTCCTTCTATAATACTATTAATTAGTTCGTCATGTTCTATCAAGTGCCCCAACATGTTTCCCCGCCTATTCTCAATAATATTTATGATCTGCCTCTTTTCTTTAACTCCTTCCAAGTACTTCTTTCTAGAGGTATTTTTAAATAAGTAAGTATTTATGAGGCTATACATTACAAAGAATCCTTCCTCTTATAATCTTCAAAATCATTATCATAATTAAAATATTATTTATTGTTTTTTAGTATAATGTAGATTTGTCTTACATTTAAAATATAATAAAAATGGCACTCAAGTTACATAGATACAAGTACTAATTGTGTGTACTAATCTCAGAATACAAAATGTTTAATTGAAAATTAAAAAAATATTTCTAATGTTTTAAATTTCTAACTTACTAATATTATAAATGCGAAAGTTTGTGAGTACTGTTTCACAAAAGAACTGCTGAACGAATTTTGATGAAACTTTACAGTAAGTAGCAGTAGCTTATTTATCAGAATACCACATGGGCTATAATTTAAAAAGATATTATGGAAATTGGGAGATGTACAATAATAAGTGTGATACAGACGAAGTTACTAGGGTCAGCTAGTAAGAAATAATTTTTAACTTTCATTCAATGAATCATATTAGTAACGATGTAATCAACATCAAACTGAGACAACACAATTAGCAGGAATTACCGACCAGTGGTAATAATGAACAATGACCACCGGGTTCCCTTATCTGTGTGTTTGTCTGTGCCCATTAATATTGTTCCTAACACGTAAACTCTTGTATTGTTGATTATTCTTGTTATCTTTAATAATAACATAATTAGACTAACTGTTACTAGCAGTTTCATTCGTAGTTTAATTAATATATAAGCTGTGCCCGCAGTTTACCGCGTGAACTTTATAACCTATGTGTTATTATGTATAAGCTATATTATTGTAAAGTTTCAACAAAATCCGTTCAGTAGTTTCTGCGTAAAAGACTAACAAACATCCATCTATCTATGTATCTATGATGACCTCGGTGGTCTAGCGGTTTAGCACACCGCTTTACGTCCGATGGTCGCGAGTTCGATTCCTCACACGGCACAAACATTTGTATTCATGAGTACGATTGTTTGTATCAGTCTGGGTGTTTTCCATGTATGTATAATATGTATGTATTTATGAAAAAAAAATCTATGTATTTGTATCAGTCATCTAGTACCCATAACACAAGCTTTAGCTAGTTTAACTTGGGTCTAGATGGCGCTGTGTGAATTGTCCTGAGATTATTGATATTGATATCTATCTATACACACAAACATTCGCATTTATAATATAAATAACATAAGACTAGCGATACGTCCCGGCTTCGCACGGATCGCAAATCTTTGAATTTCTAGGCTCGCTATAGACTATAACACGCATATATTATACATATAGACCTTCCTCTTGAATCACTCTATCTATTGTTGGAAACTGCATTAAAATACGTTGCGTAGTTTAATAGATCTAAGCGAACAGACAACGAAGGCGACTTTATTACTATGATGGTTATTATAATAAAATAGTTAGAAGAATAAATAGCTACAAGAATTGTGTTGATGGTCCAGCTCGACCGCATTGCATCACCCACCAGGTCTATAATTTCTCTTTCTCTTAAAGTTAATTCTTCAGAATTGTTTATAATACTTTAAAATTCTGCTAGAGTTGGGGAATCAAACATAGAATAGAATAGAAAATCCTTTATTTAAATAAACTTGACACACTTGAGCACTTTTAAATCATCATCATCTCAGCCCGGAAGACGTCCACTGCTGAACAAAGGTCTCCCCCAAAGAACTTTTGAATAGTCATCACATTTTTTTCAATCTACCACTCATACCGCTTGTAACTTGCGTGTTATGAAAACGTAATAGAGTTTTTCAAATCCTAATATAAAACTGATAAATTCCAGTCTACGGAACACCGTACAATAATAAATCATATAATAAGTGTATAAATTATTTATTCAGCAGCATGTATCATTGTACATAATGGTTATTATAATAAAATAAGTTAGAAGATTAAATAGCTTCAAGGATTTAGTGTTGATGCTATGAGAAGTGGTGTCGACATGGCCACAGTCTCGACAGATCGAAGTGTGCTAAAGTTTCAGAACGCCATCAATTAATAGTGTACAAGGGAAAAGAAGAAAACCTACACCATCATACATACACATACTTAATATAATATTTTCGAGGAGATTCTAAAACACATACTCGTGAAGGAGTGCTGCTTGTAGGGACTGGTCTGCTCTTATCACTACGTCTGATTTAATCTTAATGTGTATTTATATTTGACCTTAATAAATTAGTGTTGATTGGTAGTTTGTATTCACACGTTTCGATCTGTAAATGTGGAACTTATAAGGATTATTTAAAAGAGCAACACACAAGTTTCTTTCTCGTTCTTCTTGTGATGAGACAGCTTTCCAAATGAGCGGTAGATAAAATTAAATAATTATGACTATTGAAAAGTGCTTAAATTAAGTTTATGACATAAATGTATATATTTCAATAAATTATTTTCTATTCTATTATAGTCTAAACTAACCGAAAAAGGGCGTGGACTTAATGTTCTGGAAATCATAATGTATGTATATAAAAAAAAGTATGTAACATAAAGTACTTACAACGGGATATATCTTTCATTTAATAATCATTGCATCATGAACAATACTATCAATTATCATTCTTATTATCATACTAGCTTTTGCCCGCGGCTTCGCTCGCGTTAATTTATCCCCTTAGGGGTGGAATTTATAAAAATCTTTTCTTAGCGGATGCCCACATTATAACATCTACCTGCATGCCAAATTTCAGTTCGATCCGTCCAGTGGTTTGGGCTGTGCGTTGATAGATCACTATGTCAGTCGCCTTTGAGTTATATATATTTAGATTAACTAAGTGTATAGAGCAAACAAGTGGTACATATTTGGTATTTTAATGAAAAAATCATAACAAATTATACACTTAAACCTTCTACAGAAAATACTCTGTTGATTGACGAAAATCCTTTCATTAGATTTTGAGATTATCGCATACATACAAACGTAACTTGTTTTAGAACAGATATAGATAGACAATTAATATATTCATATACAAGAACGTTTTTCCTTGCAGTAGTAATGTTCGATTGTTCTAATGTGATGGGCTGCATTCAAATTGATATAAATCATAGATTTAGATAGTGCGTGCGTCAGTAAAATTGTTATTATGTTCGTATATTTAAATTCTCATTTGGATCGGGTTTTTTTTATTTAGAACGCAATAATTCAGTAAGTAAGACGGAGTATTGACACGATTTGGAGCCGTTCTTGTTTTTTTTTATACTACGATTGTGGCAAACAAGTATACGGCCCACCTGATGGTAAATGGTTACAGTAGCTTATGGACGCCTGAGACACAAATATGTTAGCGCTTTAATGACACCCTCGGTGGTCTAGTGGTTTAGCACACCGCTTTACTTTCGATGGTAAAGGGTTCCATTCCTCGCAGGG